GCTCTTGTTACTGAGCTCGTTGACTCTGCTGCAGCCTGTCGCCTAGACTACGCCGCTAGTCTTGTTGCTGAGTCTGCGTATGTCTGTCCTCCGTCCGTCGGGGGTGAGTGTGCTCTTGGCACGGACGTCCTTGAGGACAGACAGGAGGACCTTGAGTGCTTTGCCGCTGCTTCACTTCATCTCGTGTCCATGCTGCTTGCCCCTGAGGGAGACCCGGATGCACTAGACATCCCGACCCCGCGCTCTTACGCAGAGGCGATAGAGGGTCCCTACTCCTCTCAGTGGCAGGCAGCCATGGACGCAGAGATGGCTTCCTGGAAGTCCACAGGCACCTACGTAGACGAGGTTCCCCCACCTGGGGCGAACATCGTCAGTGGCATGTGGATCTTCAGGGTGAAGCGGCCGCCGGGTTCTCCGCCTGCCTTCAAGGCGCGTTACGTTGCACTTGGCTTCAGTCAGCGTCAGGGAGTTGACTTCTTTCAGACCTTCTCCCCTACCCCGAAGATGACCACTCTTCGGGTACTGCTGCACGTTGTTGCTCAGCGTGACTACGAGCTCCACTCGCTTGACTTCAGCACAGCCTTCCTACAGGGCAGCCTCCAAGAGGAGATCTGGCTGCGCCGCCCACCTGGCTTCACTGGGTCGTTTCCTGCTGGTACCCAGTGGAGCCTCCGGCGGCCAGTCTACGGTCTCCGCCAGGCACCCCGTGAGTGGCACGACACACTCAGGACGACTCTTGCTGCTCTTGGTTTTGCTCCTTCCACTGCTGACCCTTCTCTGTTCTTACGCACTGACACTACTCTGCCGCCGTTCTACGTTCTCGTGTACGTAGACGACCTCGTCTTTGCTACTGCTGACACTGAGGCACTCGCCCACGTGAAGTCCGAGCTGCAGAAGAGACACACGTGCACAGACGTGGGTGAGCTCACAAGCTATCTTGGCTTGCGGATCACCCGGGACAGAGCACAGCGCACCATTACCTTGACTCAGTCACACATGGTGCAGCAGGTCCTTCAGCGCTTCGGCTTCACGTACTCCTCGCCACAGTCCACTCCTCTGCCTACCGGTCACTCGCTCTCGGCTCCACCTTCGGACAAGTCCGTAGAGCCGAGTGGCCCGTATCCAGAGCTTGTGGGCTGCCTCATGTACCTGATGACTTGCACACGACCTGACCTCGCATACCCTCTCAGCCTTCTGGCTCGCTACGTGGCTCTCGGCAGGCACCGAAAGGTGCACTGGGATGCTGCGAAGAGGGTGTTGCGATACTTGTGCAGTACATCGGGCATGGGGCTCGTGCTTGGAGGACGGGCTCGAGTTGTCCTCACTGGTCACGCTGACGCCTCCTGGGTTGACGACTTGGCTACGCAGCGGTCGTCACAGGGTTACACCTTCAGCCTTGGCTCCGGTTCTGTCTCTTGGCGGTCTACCCGCTCTTCTTCTGTTCTCAGCTCCAGTTATGAGGCTGAGATCTACGCTGGGGCCATGGCTGCACAGGAGCTTCGCTGGCTCACCTACCTGCTGACTGACTTGGGAGAGGCGCCTCGTTCTCCTCCAGTTCTGTACGTCGACAACAAGGCCATGCTGGCCTTGTGTCAGGAGCACAGACTGGAGCATAGAACGAAGCACATTGCTCTGCGCTACTTCCTTGCTCGAGAGTTGCAGCAGCGTGGTCAGCTTCGTCTAGCTTACGTGGCCTCTCAGGCCAACACTGCTGATGTTTTCACGAAGGCACTTCAGCCTTGTGATCATCAGCGCTTCTGTACTGTGTTAGGCCTTGTACCTACTGTGCCTCACTTGCTTTCTTCTTGACCCTGCCTGTACTGTACTCTTTATACATATACCTGCATGCTTATACTTGCTAGGTTGTGTTCACTGTATTGTTTGCTTTCCTTTATATAACTCTGCATGTGAACTGGCCTTGTGGCCCTTTGCTTGTGCTCAGACTGCGTGGTGACTTTGTGATCCACCCTGAGCTTGCTTTGCTTTTCTTGACTGGTCTTGTGACCCCTTGTTCTCCCCCACTTTACCTATGGAGGTGTGTCAAACTTGTATATGCTATAGTCTGTTTAGGCTGTAGTGGGGTAGTTCCTAGAGGGTACAACACTTTTGTGTTCTCTATTTGTACCCACCTCATTTGTAGTTCAATAATTCATTCCTCAATTCTCACACAATGGCTGGGCCCACTGCTCACCTTCACTGGGTGCGTGGACGGTCGTTTTTTTATTTTCTCGGCAGCCTGGATTGCGGACACCACACGTCCACCGTTCGCACCACTAACATCTGTGTCAGGTCGGAATGGTGTGTCTCCTTGATGTAGCACAAAGAACACGGCCGATGAGATCCTTGCTGCAACGTCGGCCGATGAGATCCTTGCTGCAACGTCGCCGTTGACTTTGACGACTCCGGGAAGTCCCCTAGCTGACCGAAAAGGGATGGATAGGCCTTGACCACCTTGCCCGTATCGTCGGTGACATAAAACCACCGTAGCTCGGCTCTGTACAGGGCGCCAATGCAAATGTCACAATAAAGTTTGTCAAGCGTAAGCATTGTTTCTCCCGCAACGCATCCACTTACCCTCTGTGTACCCAAAGTAGTGGCTCGAAAATCACTTCCATGCACTCCTGGAATATTCGTGTCTTCTCCGTGGACGACGCCCGCTCGGGCGGGAATGGCAGTACAACCCGCCATGAGACGTCCCGGCTCCTGCCAGCGTAGAGCTTTTGGAATGTTGAAGAGACTGATTAGAACCGGCCACGCCGAGAGCCTGCCATTCTTGGAGGCGTGCGTGCTGTTGCAGTACACGATCACCCCCAGCACAATGCAGTCTTCGTCTGGTAGACTTGCATGCGTCTAGGGTGCTGCGAGGGTTAGGAAGCCACGCATGAGGATTTCTGCGCATTCCCGACAAACGGCCATACCACATACCTGCACTTCTTGCAGCCACTTCCCCGTGTCCAGGGTGCTGTAATGGCGTATGGTGTCAGCGTCTTCCTCGTCCGCGTGCGGTCTGGTGACAAACCCCGCAATATGCTGAAATGCACGAAGCAATTTCTTCACCAGCTGCCACACGTCAACAAATAATGTGTTAAAGGCGTGCCCTGTCGCTCCAAAGCCGCAGAGCCGCCCTCTTCGCATGCGTACATGGTTTTCCTTCACTCACCAGCTCCATGTCCTTGTAGTGCAACAGCAGCATGCACATCCTCCCTCTTGGTCCATAGCATGTGATGTCCTCCTTCCACGTGACTTGATCAACTGGTGCCCTTTCGCGCCCAAAACGTCGCACATCCACGAAACTCAGCCACCTCCTCACGTCCCTCAACGAGAAATTTTGGTAACGGAAAATGTTGAGCAGTGTGTTCATCTCTCGACGTGACAGATCGGCTTCGCCGAAGAAGACGTCAACCTCTATGAGAGTATTGAAGCCGTCGTCTATCACGGACATAACACTCTCCTCCCCGTCACTCTCTTGCGCGGGGGGTACGGAAGCGTCAGTTTGATCGGCAAATGCAGCAGGGTCCATGCTCCGCCCTCTTCTTCCAAAGCACCTGCGTGGTTGTGTCTAGAACGCACGGGTGATGGGGCCCCGCGCCTTGCACGCAGCGCGTCCCGATACGCCTCCACCAGCATTGCAAGAGCCGGTGCTAACCCTAACTGCAACCTACCGATAATCCGTGCCTTTTGCGGACGGATCAATTTGTGCTTGAATGTTTGGAATGGTCGTGGGTCTCTTACAGTATGGTTCTATTGTCTAGAGGACAGTATTTTGACGCGTAAGTGTTATATATGGCTCGACATTGGGATGAGATAATTGAACCACAACGCCATGGTATGTATCGGTCTATTTAACACCGGATCCGTGCACACCTCATCTAGCAAACCATAACTGTAATCCCCCTCTCAGCGGGATGTTTCCACTTAGCAATGAGGTCCGAAGCCAACCGTACAAGCAGCCCAAGTGTGGCCATCGGTATTCGCTATAGAACAAGCCCGCTACAAGAATCACTATTTTCCTACATTCCAGATAGAGAACCATGCGCCGATGACTCAATCTAGTCGGCGCTCATAGTACACTCGGCTCCTCCTGTGAGGATCTAGTTCAGGAAAGATAAATATATTGAATGATTCACCTTGGTACAATGCGAGGCTATACATAGGTTCGACACAAAGGCAATAACCAAGGTGTTACTAGAAGGTTCCGCGGGTCGCGAAGAGTCCCGAATGGGTCCTTCACGAATTCGGTAGAAGGCAATTTGGTGGCAGCCGAAAAGCTTAGAATTCGGTGCACTCAACCTAGTTCGTTGCTTATAACTATAATAACCATAGTAAAAGCAACGAACCTAGAAAATCAAGCAAAAGCATGCAAGATAAAATAAAGCTAAGCTAGATAATGCGTAATAAAGCAGAATCAAGCAGGTAAAGTCCAGCAAAGCCGTCGTACTCTCAAACGTCCCCCCTTCGAAGCTGGGTGGCGTGAGATACACCCTGCTTAACAAGATAATCCTTGAGAGCACGGCGTGCATTGCCCATATTAGCTTCTTCAACCCAAGTGTCTTCCGACGGGTCATATCCCTTCCAACGTATCAGGAACTCGAGCGTGTTGCCACGTCTGTGTCCATGAGCGAGCACTCATTCCACCTCATGCTATGGTTTATCATGTACGAGAGCAGGTGGTGGTGGCGGTAACTGTCGTCCGTGAACTGTTGTTTGGGGTCCTTGTAGGGCTTTAGCAGCTGAACATGGAAAGCGTTGTGAAGCTTCCACGTAGTAGGTAAGCAGAAGCGAAATGTTACGGTGTCACCTGTGCCTCAACGCGAAAGGGACCACAGAAGCGAGGCCGGAGCTTGGACGGAAGGTGAGATAATTCCAAGTCGCGTGTGTCGAGAAGCACCTGATCTCCGACTGCTACTGAGTGATCTCGTCGCTGGCGATCGGCATACTACTTCTGAGAGTTCTGCATCGTGCAAAGACGTCGCTGAGTCTTCTCCCATAGCTGAACGATTCTAGGCGATTCTAGGCGGTCCTGGGCGGTCCAGTGCGGTTCTGGACGGTTCTGGGCGGTCCTGGACGGTCCTGGGCGGTTCAAGACAGTCCTGGGCAGTCCTGGAGGGCTGGTAGCAGCCGAAGCAGGCGGACTGTAGGTCGTACAGGGAGGGGACACGACGGGGCTGGCGGACGGGGCTGGCGGACGGGGACGCAACGGGGCTGGCGAACGGGGGCGCGCCGGGGCTGGCGTACGAAGCTGGCGGATTGGAGGGCGGCAGGGAGGGGACGCGACGGGTAGGGGAAGGGGAGGCGGCGGGGAGGGGACGTGACGGGTAGGGGAAGGGGAGGCGGCGGGGAGGGGACGCGACGGGTAGGGGAATGGGAGGCGACGAAGAGGGGACGCCACGGGGAGGCGGCAGAGAGGGAATGCGACGGGGAGGCGACGGGGAGGCGACGGGGAAGGGACGCGACGGGGAGGCGACGAGGAAGGGACGCGACGGGGAGGCGACGAGGAAGGGACGCGACGGGGAGGCGACTCGGAGGCCCGCGGGGGCCTTCCTAGGTCGCGACGTGGGGGGGCCCACGGGGGTCCTTCTAGGGCGCGATTCAGGGGCCCGCGGGGGCCTTCCTATGTCGCGACGTGGGGGGGACCCGCGGGGGCCCTTCTAGATTGCGATTCGGGAAGGGGCCCGCGGGGGCCTTCCTAGGTCGCGACGTGGGGGACCCGCGGGGGTCCTTCTACTCGCGATTTGGGGGGCCCGCGGGGGTCCTTCTACTCGCGATTCGGGGGCCCGCGGGGGCCTTCTAGCTCGCGATTCGCGGGGACCCGCGAGGGCCTTCCTAGGACGTGACGTGGGGGGACCCGCGGGGGTCTCTCTCTAGCGCGCAATTCGTTGGGGGGGGGACTGGCGCTAAGGGGTGACGGGGCACGACGGGTAACGCGTTACTAACGGGCGAGCGCGGAGCGGTGGGCCCATGGGAATCGATCTACTCTATACCATGTCAACGAAGTAACGGATAATGAATGACTAGAAATGACAAAGACAAGGAAGATATAGCAAACCTTGGTCAACCCTAGCCAACCCTAAACATAAGTGTACACCACCTAGACTAGCAAATACAAACCAAGTTTGACACGGCGGGGCGGGGCCACGCCCGCCGCGCCGCGCGCGGGGCGCGGCCACGCCCGCTGCGCGCGGGCCGGGCCCATGCCCGCCGCGCGCGGGCCGTAGCCATAACCCAACACCCTCTCTCCCCCCCCAAACCCACCTGGAAGATGAGGCGCACGCCATCCCGTGTATCCTCATCGGTGGGCAGGTAGCTAGCGAAGTACCCGGTATCAATGATGCGGTGCACGTCCTCCTGCACCTCGCGCTTGGTGAGCGCCGCGTTGGCCTTGGACACCTTGAGCGCGCCCACCACCACGCGCGGCAGCTCCTCATCCTCCACCTCGCCGCCATCCTTGTCGCGAATCACGATCTCGCTGATCAGCACACGCTCCTCTTCGGGCTTTCCCCTGCCTCCGCCGCCGCCGACGGTTCCGCCGGGTGCGGTTCCGCGGCTGTCTACTGTCCGCGCGGGGGGGGTGTTGCCTGGGGGCCCGCCGCCGCGGCGTCTGTGTGCCATTCCGCGGAGGTGCGGCGGGCGCCACTGCTGCGGGGACGGCGGAGCAGGAGAGTCGTTGTGCGGGGGCGGGGCGAGGGGGAGGGAGAGCGAGGCGAGGGGCAAGCGGGCGAGCGACAAAGAAGGAGAGGGGGACGGGGAGGGGAGGTGGTGCGCGGGGAGTAGTCGGGCGGCGTGCGCCTTAAGGCGGTCCATTATTGCGCCGCCCTTGCTCGCCAGCCCGTCCATGAAACCCGCTAAAAGAGCATCGCCACTAGCCATTTGCCGTGATTCTACTAATGAGGGACTGATCGCTTCTATCCTTTGACCACATGTCGCGAGCCTCTCGCCGGCCGCGTCTCCGCCATCCAGCGCAGGCCTGCAGGCGTATCCTACCGCCACGTACCGCACTCCTCGGCGCGCATCCCGCCACGCATCGCCGAGCTTGCTCGCTATGCCGCGAAGGCGGGCAGAAACTTCCGATTAAATATAGCAAACCCTAAATTGGGATTGCACTAGCAAGCAGTTGAGTACATATAGCAAACCCTAAATTGGGTTGTACTCACTATTGAGTACCCCACTGCAGGCTAGACAAACATAACATTCTGACACACCCCCATAGCCAAAGTGGGGTGTAATCAGCACAAGCAAGCAAAAACAAGCTCAGGGTGGATCACAATGTCACCACACATTCTGAGCAGAAGTACAAGAAGCAACAGTTTATAGGTCAGAACAATAAGTAAAGCTAGAGGTTGTCACAGAGGGCAAGTGAGGAGGAGGAGGCTAGACTGAAAGGAAAGGAGAGAGGAGGCAACGGCTGAAGCTGCAGACACACGGGCAACAGGAGCGCGCGCACTGTGGCTACCGGAGGCGCACCTCCGGACTACAGGAGTAACTGGCTCCGCGGCTAAGACGAGCGGCAGGAGCAACGGACCCACGGGCGACTAGCGCAGCAGGCTCGCTGGGCTACCGGAGGCGCACCTCCGGACTACAGGCGCTGCTGACGACACGACGGCTACCTCCCTTCAACCTCCCCCACTGTTGCACTCCCCTTTCACACACCCCCTGCTGCACCCCTAGGTTCACTCACACTCCACCCCCTAGCACCACTCCGTCGACTCACACACACCCACCCCCCTCAGCGGTAGCTGCAGCAGTGGGAGACGGAGTAGGAGGAGGAGCAGGGGATGCCACACACCCGCCACCCAGCTTTCACCCCCATACTCGCCACCCCCAAACCCCAACACAGGGTAGGGCCACGACGAAGACGGGGGCAGGGCCGGGCAGGGCAGGGCCGGGACAGGGCCGGGCAAAGCAGGGCCGGGCAGGGCCGCGACGAAGACGGGAGGGGCCGACGCGTGGCCCCCTTCTGTCGCCCGCGCGGGCCCCCAAGGGCGCCACTCCGGCGACGGAAGGGGGGGCCGCGCGGGCCCCCAATGGCGCCACGACGGGCGACGAGGGGGCCGCGCACGAGCCCCCCGGGGCGACGAAACCGCCGTGCGCCCCGAGGCGCGCGACGGGCAGGGCACCGTCGCGCGCCACGGGGCGCACGACGGGCAGAGTAGGGCGTCGCGCGGCCCACAGGGCGGCACGACGGTCAGAAAACCGCCGCGCGCCTCGAGCGCGCGGCGGGAAGAAAAATGGCCGCGCGCCATGGGCGCGCGGCAGGCAGGCAGGCAGTGCGCGCCCGAGGCGCGCGATAGATAGAGTAGCAGCAGCGGAAGTATTGGGTGGGCCCATCCACAGGATCGACCCGTGAGGGTCGACCTGCTCTGATTCCATGTTGGAATAGCAGTTGCAAGTTAGAAACGAGAAAGAGGGATTGCACTAGCAAGCAGTTGAGTACATATAGCAAACCCTAAATTGGGCTGTACTCACCATTGAGTACCCCACTGCAGGTTAGACAAACATAACATTCTGACACGAGGAACCTTTCAGCTGATCTCGATGTGATACCTGTTCGCCCCTGTTTGTGTTAGCCTTAGAGGGCGTGGAGCATCATATGCAAGCGGGGTCCAAGCATTGGACCCCGAAGCGGGTTACCATACGAGTGTGTTAATAAGGACTGTACCAAAAAACTACAAAGGTTAAACTCGGGGTCAGTCGCGTGACCTTTGCACGAACGAGCTGGGGGTCAACTAGTTACAAATGTTACCATGTGGCGCTGTCAAGGAAGGCACACGAAAATCATTCCCAAACAGGAAGGACTGGCGCAAAACGCCCATCTAAGCGCCGCTGACACACCTTTGCGAAAATGTTTGATTGAAATTCAGTATTGGCGCACCGTCGAGTTCGTGTCCCTAATCTTGGACCTCGCTTTGCAAGTTTCGAGTTCAACATGTTGAACCTCTCGAGCCTGCAAAACCACCCCACGACAGATTGGACCCCATTTTGCACATAATACACCACGCCCTGAATCGCGTCGCATCGTAACACATCAGTAGCACAGAACGACTAGAACAGTAGTCAACATCATTCCCGTTAAAGAACATGAATCCTGATCGATTTAGCAACCTTTAACACTACACAAAATCAATTGGAAGCATAGAATGCCAGCTTAAACTTCCCTTCTCATACCATAATATGTGCAATGTTTGAATCATTGCACTCTATTAGAATAACCAAACTGCTCTATTAGCATTCTTGAAGGTATTTCTGTAGGCAGACCCTATTTTATCAGGGAAAAGATCCTGACACCCTGATTTTCAGGGTGTGACATAAGGTTGTGCTGTTTTTCAGGATCCTTGTATATGCCTCTGAAATCAGGATTCATATTCTGTAAGCACGATGAAGTTTCATAATGATCAATAGGTTTTTTTCGTGAAGCTTCATGACCTTTGTCGATGAGTGCTCTAGCGACAATATGTGCCAAATGTCCTGGAAGGGGTGGTGGAGAGGTGGTGGACGAACACGGGAGACGACAGGACGGGAGGCACGAAGGTAGTCGGACAACGGGTCGTGAAGCCCACTGAGGGACGAGTCAGGAGGCTGTGGAAGGACTGAAGGAGGTGGAACACGAAAGCGGAGAACAAGGTGAAACGGACCGTCTGCACGGTAACGAGACCGACGGGGCTCTAGAGACACAGCACGACTGAGGGGAGAACGACGAGTCCACTGGGACGAGGAAAGGGACTGGACAGGGGGAACAAGAGAGGACACTAGGGGACCACGAACCAAGCGTACATGTGCTGGGTCGGGCAGGTCGCGCACTCGCAGTCGCTACTGCTCCGCCTCCTCTGGCGTCTGCTGCGACGGTACCTGCCCCTGCTGCTGCTCCCGTGGCTCCTCCTCTGCCCTCTCCTGCTGCGGCTGCAGCTGTACCCGCTGCTGCGACCGAGACTCCTGCACTACCCTCTACTGCTGCGGCCGTGGCTCCTCCTTTACTCTATCCAGCTGTGTCTATAACTGTATCTCCTGTTGCGGGCGGGACTCCTGCTCTACCCTCTCCGGGTGCGGCTGCAACTGCACCTGCTGCTGCAGTCGTGACCCCTCCTCTGCTCTCTCGTGCTGCTCCTGTGGCTCCTCCACTACTCTCTCCTGCCGCTGCGACTGAGACTGCTCCTGCACCTGCTGTTGCTGTTGCTGCTGCTACTGCTGCTGCTGCTGCTGGTGCTACTGCTGCTGCTGCTGCTGCTGCTGTTGCTCTACCCTCTCCTGGTGTGGCCGTGACTCCTCCTCTACTCTCTCCTGCTGCGGCTGCAACTGCACCTGCTGCTGCAGTCGTGACCCCTCCCCTGCTCTCTTGTGCTGCTGCTGTGGCTCCTCCTCTACTCTCTCCTGCCGCTGCCACTGAGACTGCTCCTGCTCCTGCTCCTACTGCTGCTGCTGCTGCTGCTGTGCCCTCTCAAACCGCTCACGCTCCTCCCTCTCCAACCGGAGGAGACGCTGCTCACGGGTCAGGAAACGTACAGTGCGTGGTGTAGGCGCCACAGTGCCAGTGCCTCCAGCTCCAGCACCCCCAGAACCAGCACCTCCACCACCGACACCCCCGGGGCCTCCAGTACCTCCCGCAGGAACACCCCCAGGCTCCGCAGCAACCGGCCGCAAAGAAGAAAGAGGAGGGAACTGCAGGACGGATGGGAAGCCAGGGGGTGACGCGGGGCGAGGCCGTCGAGTCGAGGCTGCCGTGTCCTCCACGGGAGTGACCTCCACGCCCACACCCCCTGCACCCCCAGAACCGACACCACCAGCTCCAGCAGCCCCAGCACCCTCACCCTCCGCAACTGCACCACCCTCACCCCCAGACACGACAGGGACTGGACGCTGCGGGGGGGACGACTGCGGAGTGACGTGCGACACACCTGCCGGGGCAGGATGCGAAGGGGGGGGGGCTACCGGGGCGACTGGGGGGGGCTCAAGGGTGAGGAACAGCGGGGGGGGAAAGACCCCACTACCTCGGTGGGTGCGACTCCTGTAGTAATTGACAGACTCGTCGAACGTGGCGTACTGGGAACTGAAGAACTCGTAGGTGAGTGGGTCGTAGAACACCTAGCCAGCGGTGTCCAAAGGGAAGCCAAGAAAGACGTAGGCACGAGTGCGCGGAGACAACTTGTTCGCGCCAGGGGCGCGAACGTGAGCCAGACAACCCCAGACGCGGAAGTCAGCTGCTACGCCCGGAGAACCTGTCCAAAGGGAGACCGGCGTCACCCGTGGCCGTGCGTCACTGGGCCACAGGTTCAGCTGGTGCGCGGCGTAGCGGACTGCCTGAGGCTACAGGAACTGGGGGCCACCAGCATGGCACATGGAGGTCCGGGCAACCTCCATGACCAGGCCGATGCGTCGCTCGGCTACCTGGTTTGCTGCGGCGAGGCTGGTAGTGTGTAAGACTAGAGGATCCCCCGACCCTGACAGAACGTCCCTAGGCGAGTGTAAGAAAACTCACCACCACGGTCCAAGTACAGGCGGAGCCCACAAAGGGCCTGGGCGCCACCCCTCGCTAGTAGCCACGGCTCGAGGACGGTAGGAACGTCGGCCTTCCGTCGCAAGGGGAAAACCGTGGTGTAACGGGAGTAGTCATCCACCACAATCAGGAAGTAGTGTTGAAACTAGGCAAGGAGAAGGAATGGAAGAAGAGAGATTGTACTAGCAGGCAGGTGGAGTACATATAGGAAACCCTAAAAGGGTTGTACTCTCGGTTGAGTACCCCACTACAGCCTACACATCAAATAACATTTTGACACGCCCCCATAGGCGAAGTTGGGGATAGCCAACACAACAAGCAGTCGCAGGACCAGTTCACAAGCAAAGGCTAGTGGCATAAACAGAGGGCAAGTGAGGAGGAGGAGGAACCATGAGAGGAGAGGAGGAGGTGGGCGGCCCCGGAAGCTGCTGGCACACGGCGCAAACTGGAGTAACTGGCTCTGCTCGCCGGCAAGAGCAACTGACCTACGGTCAACTGGAGCAAGTGGCACACGGGCAACTGGAGTAACTGGCTCTGCTCGCCAGCAAGAGCAACCGACTCACGGGCCACTGGCACAACGATCTCACGAGCGACTGGAGCTGCACACTTCACGGCGGCCACCCGCCTTCAACCTCCTCGCATTGTCCCGAACCCCCTTTCACACCCCTCGGCATCCCTTGCGCCACTCCCTCCTCTCCCCCACACCCTCCCCCCCCTCAGCGGCAGCTGCAGCAGTGGGAGAGAGAGGAGGAGGAGCGCAGCTGATCACTCACGCCCGCCACCCCCATACCCCCCCCCCACGGCTACACGCGCAGAAGGGAGATGAAGGAGAAGGGGGGGGGCGGGGTAGGAGCTGCCCCGCGGCTGCAGGTCCAGGCGTGCGGGCTGCAGAGGCGGCTCGCGGGCTCCAGGGGCAGCGCACGGGCTGCAGGGGCGGCTCGCGGGCTGCAGGGGCAGTGCGCTGGCTGCAAGGGGCAGGCGCACGGGCTGCAGGGGCGGCTCGCGGGCTGCAGGGGCGGCTCGCGGGCTGCAGGGGCAGTGCGCGGGCTGAAAACCGCCGCACGCTCGGGGCGCGCGTCGGGCAGGAAACCGACGCGCGCCCGAGGCGTGTGACGGGCAGGATCCATCGCGCGCCAGGGGCGCGCGACGAGCAGGTTCTGTCGCGCGCCCGGGGCGCGTGACGTGCAGGAATCCGCCGCGCGACAGGCAGGAAACCGTCTTGCGCCCAGAACGCGCGGCGGGCAGAAAACCGTTGCACGCCCGGGGCGCGCGTCGGGCAGAAAACGTCGCACGCCCGGGGCGCGCGACAGGCAGGAAATCGCCACGCTCCCGGGGAGTGCGACTGGCATGAAGTCAGCGAAAGCATTTGGTGGGCCCAACAGGATCGACCAGGGAGGGTCGACCTGCTCTCATAGCATGTTGAAACTAGGCAAGAAGAAGGAATGGAAGAAGAGAGATTGTACTAGCAGGCAGGTGGGGTACATATAGGAAATCCTAAAAGGGTTGTACCCTCTGTTGAGTACCCCACTACAGCCTACACAGCAAATAACATTTTGACTGTAGCGCTCCTGACGTGGGCCAAGGACCGGGGAGGGGCCCCAGACGTCCAAGTGCAGGGTCTGGAAGGGAGCCGTGGTGGGGGGGGACGAGGAGGAGTGAGGGGCAGCGCGCAGCCGACCCTCGACGCAAGGAGTGAACGGTGGCGCAGGCGAGCAAGGAAGCGGGGCAAGCGACGCTGGGAGACCTGAGACCAGACGGTGACGTACAATCATACTCAGACGTGGGAACGACGGGTGACCTAGACGGTGGTGCCAGAGGACCGACGAGTGGGTGAGTGACCGATAGTCCAACGACACAGCAGCTACCTGACCTGACCTGACCT